ACCGTGCTGCTCTCCATCTCCGTCCTGCTGCTCATCCTGCAGGAGATCCTGCCCTCCACCGAGGAGAACCTGCCCGCCATCGGTGAGACCCACCACACTCAGGAAATTTAATTTTCTTAAGGCTTAAAAAAAAGACTTACTAAGAATATGCTGCTATTATTTATCACTGGTCACATTAAACAACTGCTAACTTATTTAGTTTATATATTCACATACATACATACATAAATAAATAACTAGATAAATAAATAAATAACTAGATAAATAAATAACTACATAAAAAACTACCTAACTTAATAAACTAAATAATAATCATCATAATAATAGATAATAAACTAAACAAACAACTAGATAAATAAATAAAACAAACAAATAAATAAAAGATTAAGCTTTTCGAGTCTTGAATTGAAAATACTGTTAAAATAGGAACACATTTTGACATTTAACACACACACGCATATGTGTGTATATATATATTTATTATATATATATATATATATTTGAATGTATGTAAATTATCTGTTTTTGGATGGCAATATCAGAATCAGAATCAGAAATACTTTAATAATCTCAGAGGGAAAATATTTAGAAATATGGATATATATATATATATATATATGAAAATTTGGAAAGTTAAAAAAACAACAATAAAACAAGCTGTCCCCCACAGGGTGAAAATTGTTTTTTTTAAAATAAACTTTATTAACTTAAATACAAATTAACAGGCAGTTAGCATCACAAAGAAAAACTTAGCAAAACAAACATTTTTTAGATGTTTCTTTTAGCTGTAATTCGGCAGTCATATAGGCTGAAAGTTTTGTTTTTACCTTAATACGTCTGTGGCTCCTCTCTCAGCTCAGTACTTCGTGGGGGTGTTCGCCATGATGTGGGTCAGTACGCTGGAGACCATGCTGGTGGGATACATCGCGGAGCTGGACGGGTGCTGTGGAAATACGGCCACGGAGGACGTCCAACCGAAAGGTACATCCGGGTCCCAACGGGGCCGTTGGAAACCGTTGGGGGGGCGCTGGACGCGGGGGGGCTGGTGTGTGGGGGCTCAGACACGACTTGGGACGCCATAATTTAGCTCGTAAAAAGTTAATTTGAAATTTGAGCAGTGGCGGCTGGTGAAAAAAAATCTTGGTGGGGCTGGTGTGCCAATATATTTCCCTGCCTAACCCAGTAGCCTACATGCATTCAAGTTAAAAGTCGTAAAATTAGTACAATTCCACAATAATGATTTAATTCCCTTATCAGAATCAGCAGTTTACATATACAGTTAACCATTTGAAGCTATATTAGGTATTATTTTGGAAGGGAACAGTATGAAATACAACACTCAATTTTACTATTTTTCACCAAACACACAAAGTAGGCACACAGGTAGTTAGCTTAACCCGGTTAGCTTAACACAGTTTTCCATATAACCTCGTGATATTTCATGTTTCTTAGTTGTTCAGAGAGGTGTTTTAAGTCTGTCTGTCCAGACTGTGTCCACGTCAAATCACTCCGGTCATTTTTAAAGGGATGCGGGAAAAACATAACTGCGTTGGCGTCCCACCGGCAGTCAGCCAGGACTCACGCTGGAACCAGCCTCTGCTAAAAGGCCGGCTGTGGGACTTAGCTTTTTCATTGGTTCGCTGCGTTAAATTTATTTCGGACTTGTCAGGTCCCAGTAGCGCCCCAGAAGAGAAACGATACGTTCTGTGGGTGAAAATGCACCGTTGAATGAGAGTCAGTTGGTGGAAGGGTTGTTTTAATAATTCATATTACATGTAGCCACATATTATTAAGTAAAACTGACATTGATAATACTTTAAAAATAAATATATATAACTTTCCCCCTCCACATCTAGGGGGGGCGGCGCCCCAGCGCCCCCTATGGGCCGGCCGCCACTGAATTTGAGTTATAATCTTTAATGGTTTCCAGACTAAAAATGAGTCTGCTGCCTCCAATTCTGGGTTGAAGGGGGTCGATCTCCCCTAAACTCCCTGATCACGATCGGAAAAGCCGAGCAGGAACGTTCTCCGTAGCAACGGATCGGTCTCCATAGCGACGCCCAGCGGCGGCAACGAGGCGGGAAGCAGAAACGTTACTTTTGACAGCTGCCAGCTAATCTTCGCGGGCTAAAAATCAAATAACCAATGAAAACGTAGACAGGAACGATCATTCAGCTAATCTTCGCGGGCTGAAAATTAAATAAACATGAAAACGTAGACGAGAACGATCATTTAACCATGTTTATTCACACACAACGTTCAAATTAAACATGGCGGATTAATTTCCCCCTTTAGCCTCTCCGTGTTCAGATGCTTTTCAAAAGCCCAGAGCTGTTTTTATTGGTTAACGGTTGATCATGTGTTTGCTGTTTGGCATCTCTGAACATGTCAGTAAAACTAATTTTCAACATATTCCTTTTTAAAACACGATATATTTATTGTAAGTCCCAAAACATACATTTTGGAGACAACGTTTAAAATGGATGCTTTAATGTCCTGTAAAATGGTCCGATTTGCTCAGCAACAGCTCCAATCCAATAAAAACAGGGATTTTAAAGCAAAACAATAGCTTCTATCGTCATAAAACCTGATGTCAGAAGAAGTCCTCCAGTCTTAAACGCACTGTTTACTGCAAGAGCACTTAAAGCAATAACACTGAGGTGGAAATGGATTCAGGGCAGGTATTGATTCCGTCTGGGTTCATCCGGCTGTGGTTTGGCCTTCTTTACTCTCGTCTCTCACACAGAAGCAGTTGGAGACACCGACCCCCCATCAGATCGGGACCAGGACCAGGACCAGGACCAGGACCAGGACCAGGACCAGGACCAGGACCAGGATATGCTGAAACAGGTCCTGGACCAAGTGAGGGCGGCCCAGCGGGATCTCGGTGCCAAAGCAAAGCCGGGACGCTTCCGAAAGCTGGCCAACACTATAGACAACGCGTTTTTTGTCCTACACCTGATCATGATTGTCGCTTTTATGGTATACATGGTCCTGTTGTGGAAAAATGCACTGTTACGATAAAGCAGGGCACAAATCACCTGGTGGGCCAGGTGGAAAATACACAACAAGCTTATTCTAATCAGGTTTTGTTAATGTTTTTATCTTTCTTGCTATGCTGGAATTATTTTGGGATATTATCCCATATTTAAAAGTCTGGACGCATTATTTAGAGTTAATTTTGACTGGAAAAACTGACATTAATGACAGTAACAGATTTTTATTATGATTATTTTCAGCATACTGCAATGTATATTGCAATATTTTTGTAATTTCTTCAAATATTACATTTGATTTGAAAAAGTTTAAGGTCTTTATGGGCAAATGTGCATGACAAAGATTAAACTCAGAGATCCTGATAAACAAATGACGGGAATAAATACAATATCCGGCAATTAAATGCTGTATTTTTCTTTTTTTTGTATGTTTGTGCTTAACAAATGTGTTCACACATCAGTTAGAAAAGAATATACTATTTTTTTTTTCTATTAAAAAAAACTGTTTTAAACCCAAAAATCGTTAGTGATTAATTAAAAACACACAAAATAAAATCATAAAATTTCACAAATATTCATATCTTTTCAGGTTCAGGTAATTGACTCATTAATCCCAATTATTAGCTCATTTTGATCTCTTTTATACGTCTGAAAAAGAATACAGAGATTTTCAATCTTCGTATTGAATTATTTACTCTATTTAACAGGTTTCTTGCTTATCCAGACTGATAAATTTTTGACCTAGTTCCAATTTAATTCTTTTTTGGGAAAAAATCAAATTGATGCAAATAAAGAAAGCTGATCCTGAATTTCAGACATTTTATGAAAGATTTTATGAAAAAACATCACTACACACACACACATTTATACATTAATATATATCTATACATATGGCTTGAATATATTTATTATAGATGATATTAAATTGTTTAACACTACCTTTCAATTAAGTAGCATTTAGAATAGTTTTCCATCTTAATTAGCCTTTTATATGTAATTTGAATATAATATATATATCTACATTTTTATTTACATTTATTTTTGATTATGGGGGATTTTGACAGCTCCAGTTCTTCATGCATGATCTGGGTTAAAAAAACAAACAAAAAAACTTGCCTTCATTTGCATATTTTCTGTTTCCTTTTGCAAACAAATCAGACCGTTAACGTTCCAGACTGTCGCTCTGCTCTAATAAAACCCATATTTTCTGACAAAAATCATTCTTAAAGTAGCTTGAAAACTTCATGCCATCTAATTAACTCATTGGCTGCCAAAGACGTCTATAGACGTC